GCTTGCCTTTTGTAATACCTGGTCCTTGAATGAAAGTTCTTTGAACTTAAATTAGAGATTGTTTTTAAATGGATGCCATCATGCAGCTATTCATCTTCGTGAGCTCATTTCACAAGCCAGATTCTGCTTCACTACAGTTTTATTTCTGTAATTTCTATTTTGTCGCTTTGTCACATAGATAATGAAAACCCATTCAGAAAGCATGGTGTATTCTGTGAAAAGACAGAAATCTGACTAGTAAGAGTAAAGACAGCCGTGCCGCACATCACTCCACGAACCAGAATGAATACCACCATATGTTGTTTTCTAGCGCTAGAGTTAATTAAACAATTTGCTCTCGTCTGATGAATAAGTTGACGATTTCGCACCATTTGTTATGTTGCAGCATGCAATCTGTCTCTTCCCGATAATCAAATTTCCATTCAGTGTGGAGTCAAATAACAACATTAGCAGAGTGGAGAGAAAAAACAGTCTACCTTGAGCAGTGTGTTTTGTATATTAGATATTTTAATTGTAAATAGAAGTAAGCGCTCACCACAATTTATTAATGTGGGAAGCTATGAATTATGAAAGCAAATTAAACTAAATTCATGCACAGAGAAACAACACAGTTCACAGTATATTAGAATCCCAGCAGAATACGCACATAACTCCTTGATTGGCCCCGAGGGATGTAATATCTATGCTTTAATTTCACATGGCAAGTAAGCATATCCTGTTACAAGCCATTACAAGCTTTTAATGCCTCACACTGTGCCTCGGATATGCTGCTACTTTACGCCCTTAAAACTAAATATTTAACTATAATGGGACAATTTCTGATGTTTATTTTACAGGCAAAGTTGGTTTTGCGAAACTTACCCATTCAATTACAACCATTTATTGGAAAAAAATAACATTTATAAAAGCTTATTCCACAACAAGCATTGCAGAGATGGGAGGTAAATAAATGCCTTCTCCCTCTGGGGTGTGGCATGTAATTAGCTATTTTTCATGACTTTATTTGTACTTCTTAAGCATCCTTTCTCCACCGCAGCTGCTGGGCAGCCATGTTAATTTTTTCTGCTGGCTCTATGTTTTTTTGTGCTGGTGCCAGCTAGAGTTGCACAGCAGCAAGTAACGGATGCCAAAGGCGCGTTGGTTCGTTAATAAACCCACATTCATACAGAGTCCTGGACATGAACGGCTACTTCGAAGGTAATAATGTATTAGAGAAAAATGGAGAGGTTTTCAAAAATTATCAGATCTATGCTTATTTAAAATTAATAAACAGATGATCTGCATGGAAGAGCTTTTTCTAAATAGTTGATATTCATCATTTTCTGTTCAGCAGCTGAAAAGAATTACTTGAAAAACGACTATAATCATTCCTAAAATTTTTCAAAAAGCCATAGAAAAGGAAAAGTCACAGGGATCTTTTTTGGCATTGGTGCCTTTCAGCTTCTCCAGACTTAAAATTGGATTTGAGTTCAAACTCCTTACTACAGAATCTGTCATTTGTTTCTTTTTCTTCCCTCAGAATCCTTGTTTTTTAACTCTGGGTGACTCATTTTGCTCAGAAAAGCACTGGCAATCATCAAGTTTGAAATTCAATTCCTCTAATACATGGCACTGTGAAGCAACAATGCAGCATAGAGCCTATTATGAATCTTTTCTGTATACATTTAGCTTTGCTGCTTGTACAAAAACTAATGCAGAGCACTACTTTGGTTTTCTCTGTATAGTACATAATCCTTAAGAAAATCATTCTGAAAGCCTTTGCAAACATCCATCCTTTTTCTAATAAGAGTCTCTTTGGCTCATTGAGTTTTTCTAGGTTCATTAGATGTTTGTGTGTTTTTTACAGAATCTGCACAAACCTTAACAGGCTTCAATTTTATCAAAGCAGCATTTTCTGGTGGTGGTCTCCGTGTTTTTGTGCATTAAGTCGCCTCCAAATTGAAAAATTGTACACAAGTAGTGTTAGTTGGTAAAAAAAAAATAGAATATGTTTTCTCTATTTGGCTTCCAAAACACTTGTTATATCTGCTAAGCACTGTGTAGTTATTTTAAACACTAATAATCCTAATTACATGTTGCATACATAATGTATGTACTCGAATATTATACTTAATCTGAGATTAATTTAATAGTCTGGCTGAAGATTTGCTGTAATGTAATCTGTTTTCAGAATATGGACATAAGTTTGATTTTGATTTAAAGTCTATTTTTAACCACTAACCAGTTGCTTTCAGTATGTGACTATCTGAAGTGTAGCTTCATAAAGTGTCTTTACTTTTCATCTTTTCTTCAACTTTACTGATATCCTATTCATTTATTTCAAATCTTTATTTGTCCATGTGATTTGTGACCGGTCTCCATTCTCCTGTAGTTTAAATCCCATTGTTGGGTTTGTGTCAAAGGTAATAGAAAATCACCCACAAAGTGACCATATGTTTGGATATTCTCCATATCTGATGAAATGCCTTTTCTAGGACCAGAGAGCTAATGTGGACCTGTCTGCACTTTTCCCAGTGCTAATCGATGAGCAGCGAGTGTGTGTAGATGGCATATGTCATTCTGGTTCATGAATGCATATTGGTTAGACATAATGTTGACAACACTGCCAAGATCCCACTTGATGATCCACTAATGGAGGGGGAGAGCTGGCAGGTTGATTGACAGTTGAGTCACTAATGTTACCATTTTCCTTCCGGGGTAAGAACGGAAAATGGTATACTCCTCAAGTCTGGAGACTTTAGACAGACTTGAGACAGAATATCTTGAACTATTCAGTTAAGAAACATACCTTGGGTGCTTTCTTTTCCCAAATATAGGCTGGGATGTCATTATGGTCCACTTGTCTTTACATTTTTTCAACTTCTTGATTGCCTATCAGACTTCTCCTCAACATATTGGAAGTTTAAGTCCAAGGGCTCAGTCTGATTTATTTATTTATTTATTATTATATATATTTTTAAATTTTGCTAAAGTTTAGCATCTTGTTAACAGAGTAAGGTCTGTCCATATATTGTGGGCCAGCTTCATCACTTAAATCTTAAAACTTTGGACTTGTTTGTTGTCAACTCAGAGTTTCTGCTCATCGTAGTCTATTTCAATCTCATCGAGTGAAATGTCTGGTTTTTTTCTTGTGTTCAGGGAGATTCCACCACTAAGTGCTAGAGTCTGCAAGACTTACAATCTTGAATACCACCAAATGGCTGAATCACTACGTAATGGACTATAAAGTGATGGCGTAAACAACTTAAACATCACAAATTTCTTTCTCCAAAAGCAGCTATTTTATTTAGGCCCCTTAAACTGTTTAAACCATAAGAACAAAGTGAAATTAGTTTTCAAGTTGAAGCATGTTTTCGGGTTTATCTAATAAATACAGCTATCAGTAGGGAGGGATGATGGTCATTTGTGACAACCTCATTTCATATTCTCACCAGTTGGGCATGCCTCAGATTTTGAGGTGTAATATAGCCCTGCCAAATCAGCAGTAGCCCATTACTCATCCCCCTCTGTGCTGTCTCCTGGCTGGTGCTCTGGCACTAATGCAGATTACAGGGATATATGAGGGCTATTTTGTTCGCTGCAGGGTGGAAACGATCACCAGCAACCCCATCCCTCTCTGATGCACGACTCTACATCTGTTCCCCCCTCAAAAGCCTATCTGGATATCCATCAGAGCCAAGCCCCTTATCAGATCTAAGGCGGCTGCATCTATTGCACATCAATTATAGATGCTGTGTGTGAAAAATTGGGTCACTCTATCAACACTTTCCCTCGATCCATGGAGACATTGTTTAGTTAAGTGATTAGTGGCTTATCTTTACATACAGTTGCAGTTGTAAGTGTTAAACGGTCCGTTTATGATGCATGGATACAGCAGCACAATTGCCTCAAGTGAGGAAAAACTATTTCCCACAGCAATTTTGATATGATTTAATGTGGCTTCTTTTTCCACAATTGAGATCAATTAATCAGATATTTACACAATTTTTGCTTTTAAGCCCTAAAATGGCCTTTCTTTGACTCTTCTGGACAGGAAGTTCGCACAAGTGTGCTTACATCACAATCCATTAGGACCGTTTTGCTCTCCTCTTGCACTGACACAGGTGGTGACAAATGAGCCACGCTGCATTCTTGTAACCCAAATTCATTTCCAACTTGCTCCCTGACGGAGAACACAGACGTATTATTCAAATTTCTAACCCATTCACTCTGAGTGGTACACGTCAAAAAACCTAAACGTTTTAATCTTCATGCAAGTCTCTCCTCATCTGTTACATAAATAGATCATTCATCATATTATTGGGCCTTTGCAGCTTGACTGTTTGAGTGATCCGTTTCTCAAACAGCCCCCTCTCCCTGCAGCCCAATCAATCATTTTTCAATGAAGATGTCACAGCCCATTGTGTGGAGGGTTACCCCGAATGATTCCCAGAAGGTTTTCAGATGACAAAGTGAAAGCCGGAGCCATTTTGATCCAGTGGATGGTTTGAATAATTTGGCCAAAACACTGTTCCATTTTACTGCTGGCTTGTCAACAATTTTCACCTCAGTGGAGGTGGTAGCAGGTGCGGAAATCTCTAAGCATGCTTGCTATTAACTTTTCATTAGGCGCATTAAACTGCACGAGTCATCAACAAGTAGTTGCTGCTCGACATAATTGGTTTGTGGTTAATGTCTGTTTTGAAGCTGTAAGTGTCAGTGAGCTGCAAAAATCCCAGCGGGAGCCCTTTAAGACTTGAGATTTTCTCAGGAAGAAGCACTTTTTAAAGACAGACGGCCTTTAAAGACTGGCAGCCTAAACTGCACGGCAACAATTTCTTCCAGGCTGTGCATTGTTATCCCAGCCACTCATAATGATCCGTAATTCAATAACCAACCCACAGAATTGTATCATTAAATAACCAGCTGCAATGCAGTAATAAAGATTTCATTCCTCATCTTGTGTTCTTGCGCGTGCACATCTCACCTTTCCACTCTTCTTTCTCTTTCCTCTGCTGCAGCCTCCACCAAGGAGTTGATGCGGAGACCTGTGACAGCTGGAGCCAGAGACATAACCTTCGAACACAAATGTTTTCACCAAACACACTTCAGGGAAAGTGCAGGGCTGTGCAGAAAGGTGGTAGCTTATTTCTTTGTTTTGTTTCTAAGGAGCAGGGCTTTTTTGGGTGTTTTGAGTTGGCTTCTTCCTGACAATTTTCAGTAGAATCCATTGTTGTTTAAGCCACACATCTCACTGGCTTGTAAAAACATACATATTTTATCAACCTCTAAATCTAAACCATTTTGAAAACTGCACAAAGTTGTGTTCATCTCTTGGAAGCGCAGTATAAACCAACTATTGTCTGGTTTACAGCTGTGTCGTCTTCTAATGACATGCAAATATCTAAATTTGTGACACAAAGGGATGAAAGATTTATCAGTTACTGGGTTAATAATGATGTACTTCTGACCTTTTAAAAGAAGGATAGTTTGCTTGAGGTTAATTTAGGATCAAATCAGTAAAACACCTAATTAATAAACTTGGTCATTTGCATTTTAATTGAAAAGTTGTATCTCATATCGACATGTCACCAATATGTCTTATGCATGGTCGCTTATTGCATCAGTATGACTGATTTATGCAACAAGTGGCACTTATTGTCAATCTGATCTGCTTTTTTAACATATACAGTAAATGTATCCACCAAAATGACCAATATCTAAAATATGAGCTCATGAGTTGACTTTTTAAGCCTTTTTACATTTTTCTGATTCTCTTTTTATAAATTTTTCTGTTCCATTTTCTCCCAAATATCCATTGAACTTGGTAAAATATGATGAACATCGCACACATTTATCTCAAATCTTGTAGATTTCATGGCCTGTATCATCAGCTGCAGTCTTTGTGGTCCGCATCTAAAGCTCCACTCTCACTGCAGTGGGATTAATGAGATGTAATCTTTTACCTCATTGCCAATGCTTTATCTCATGAGGTCATTCGTTGGTGCGTCAGCTCTCCTCCACCTCCCCACCCTCACCGTACCTATGTTGCAAAATTAAACTTGAATTAGATCATTAGCATACAAAGCAGGAAACCTACTGCCGCGGAGTCATACATATTTATCCGGATGTGCCTGACTTGTGCATGCACACCATCATACTGTAACCCCCTTTGCATGCAAACCTCTTGCACAGGAGACAAGCGAGCACAGACTATAAAATGGATATTAATTAGAGTAGGTTGGTTTTAAGAAGCATAAATTTAACTGTGAATAAATACAAGGTTTTCATCCAAACAAGCTTTTTGAAACATGGCAGGTTTGACTGGAAAATGTGAGCTTTTGGAACCAGAGCAGATGGATTTTGATTAGGATCGTTTGGGCAGGTTGAGTTCAACGCATCAAATATTGCTTACACACAGAGGAAACGCGAAATGCCTGCAGTCCAAACTCATCTGCTGCACATTAACAAACAGAAAAAGACAAACAGGGAACACAGCCTTCTGAATAATCATGCATTGCCTCATGAATGATCCTTTTCTCTCTCTTTTCCCCTCTGTCCTTTCCACTAGAAATTAACTTTCTCCTTAACCACTCTCTCTGCTTCCTGGGGATCACTTTCCAGCCTTCTTCTTCCTTCCAGCTGGGAGAACAACTCCCTCCTTTAGCAGCTATGTGGACTCCTCCATTAGTATTCCTTCTTCCTTCCCACTTTTCCCTCCCTCCTGTGAGATTGCTGTTGTGTCTTATGGCTTTTTATTCCTACGTGATGGTAGATGGGTTCATGTAGGAGTAGAAGCCACTAAACACGCGGTGAGTGCTCGACATGCTGGCCAACACATGCAGAGAGTTTCCTGTGGATATGACAGCTGCCATGTTCACATCAATGTCCTGCCCATTATCCCGAAAGCACACAGGGTTTAAATATAGTTCAGGGACCTCACTGAAGAGCGGGGCTGTTTTTAGCCTGGAGTAACAATTTGGTTCAAATTGGAGTGAAAACTATAGATTTAAATTATTTTGGGAAAAATCCACAGAAACTTTCAGCTGAAAAATCAATCCTCAGTGCAGAATTGTCTTAACCGACCTACTTTCCCCAGCTGCATGCTGGCTGCTTGTGTCTCCAATTCAATATTAATTTCTTCACTTCTCTGCCCTGCAGTCCTTGATCAGAACTGCAGCTTGAAAGATCTCAAAACCACTTTCGAAATAAAATGACTCTCTCAGGTAGGTCACTCAATAATGTCTGAATATATTTGCCTTTTCCCTGTTAAGTTGCGCAGAAAAGGTTCATATCCCTCTTTAACAGCACTAAAAGGTTTTCAGACTGTAGCGCGGCGTATTAGTCAATACTATAAGTTCTGCAGGCGAAAGCAGGCGTCCATCAGACACTTTTCCATCATTTACTAGGTATTTATTGGTTTCTAAGGTCCTTCTGAGTAGTAACTTGTCAAGTACTTTTCTTGAATTTACCAGGTATTATCATATCCTGGAACCTAATTATAGTTTCAAAAATGTTGTCCAAAGATACTTGGTTGGTCCCAGAAAGTTATCTCTAAATTCTGGGAAGGTAAAAGATAACTTTTATTGACGTTGCAGGAATATACCATGAAGTTTGTGGAAAGTAACGAGTTCTGCAAAAGAACATCCTGTTATGTAGAGCCACCAAATTATAAAAATATTATTTCAAACTTTTTTTGCTCATCTATAAAGTACAGATTCCATACCCTTGTAGTTTTAGAGCTCTTGCATCTCTGATTGCACCCTCACTGAATGTACTTTTGAACCGAATCTTTTTTTGTAACTGTCTCAAACCTGAGTGATTGATAGCTTGTAAAATCACAATTTAAATGTAATGTAGAAAAGTAGTTACACTGACCCTGCCTCAAACATGTAATGTCATATTACAGTGTTCTTTGACTGAAATGCTTGTACCTTTGATGACAACACAGATGAAACAAAAGATCTTTTTTAAAAAGCAGACGTTGAACAAGGAGTTCCTTGAAAAAGCCGGAGCCTGAAGAGACCAGCAGGAGACCAGCTCGGTCTGTTTTGTTAGACCTGAAGGGGTCGCAGTCTAAAGTGCCAGATTTTGTTGTATTTCACAGTAAATTTCTAAGCGGTTTAGACATTTCACTCAAAATAGAAGGAGATGGTAACCTTAAAGCACCAGATTTTGAATGTTTTCCAACCAGCTTTCCTGATAAGTTTCTCAATCCCTTTAAAACTTCAAGGCAGGAAACTTTAAATCAACTCGGAGCAACCCCCTTCATTTTCCTCCTAAATTATGTACAAATTCTGGCGCCCACATAATGGCGCCGCAGTAACTTTCGCCTGGGCTGAACTTGGTGTCAACTAATTAAGCAAGAAACTCAAATTATCCTGCTGCTGGGTTCATTCGTGTGCTGCAGGGTTTGGGTTTAAATGTCAACTCCCTGTTTGTGTTCGCTGCGAAATACGCTGCCAGCCTGCGTTCCTTGCACACAAGCTGAATAAAGTCTAAACAGGCTGAAGCCAAGAGCTGAATTATTAATCCCTGGATATTACAAGAAGCTGACACATGTTTGCAATTGTGGGACATCACTTCTTCGCTCATTTGAGATGCATAATAATTTGAGATGAAAACGAGATAAGTTCTGCCGAAGTTTAATGATTTATTTTCAAGCTGTAAGATGTTGTGATCTAAAATTCAGAGAGGAAGCTTGACAAGTTTCTGTTGCCTGCATTATCTGTTTAATTTATTTTTCAGGTTCCACTCCCACGTAGGGTTTTTTTTCCCCCCGCTTTATTGAGTCGTGAGGTGGTCTGAGAGAATATTTGAACAGAAGGAAGACATTAAAGAAGGCAGAGGAAGGCTTCGATTTTTAACCCTGTGGGGTTCCATGGGAATCTAAAGGTGGGAATCAACAGTGATGAAGTCTATGGGAAAGAACCTGCATTATTTACAGCAGCACAGGCTCATAAAGGGGAAGCGGTGTTTGAATAGATCGCTCCTGTCTTTTCGTCTTGCTCAAGGGTTCGCTTCTCGGTTATGATCCAACCAGACTGCAAACCTCACATTCAAATGTCAAAATAATAAGACAGGCAGCATTTGGGCTCATTTTAATGTTGACAGCTGTTCATTTTTTTTTCCAAATTACGGCTTTCATGACTCTGTGACTCATGATCAGATTCTGCAAGGTCGCCGATTCCTCAAGTTCAGGTGGAAATCATTAACTCTGGTGTAATGGGATTTTCCTCTGACAGATGCAATAATGCGGTGTGTTTGTGTACAGTAGGTTTAATGTACAAGTGTTGTTCTACTTTATCTCCACCCTGCTTCAGGCTCTGCTTTGATTTTTCTGTAATAAATAATGCTCTTTTGTCTTCTGTGCCGCATTTGTTCCCAGTTGTAATCTCTCTACTGCTCAATAAATTATGAATAATGCCAGTTCAACCTGCTGTATATCTCTTTTTTTCATTTGTCAGATGGTATATTTTTGTCCCTTTTTTTCTAAAAAAAAAAAAAAAAAAAAAAGCATGCACAGGCATCACAAACTTTTTTGGTGAGCAGTTTAACTCAAATCTCACTGCAATACCAGAAGCAATCTGTTTTATGTGCACAGAATGTGAGCAGGAACGCAGCAACACAAAGAATATTAATAGTGTTCTTGCACATTTAGCTATTTCAATCTTACATGTAGGTACCAATAAAAATCTTTCACCATCTTCCTGATTATTTGGATGCAAAAATCAACTAAGTGAATACTTTTGCTCCAAGTCTTTTGGGACAACCAGGCTTGTATATTCAGAGACTAATATTCTTGTTTGTCTTTGCAAAATGACTCAATCTCCATCAAATTGGAAAGAGTGCATCTGTGAAAGGAGTTGAGGTTTGAATTAGCATCCTTATAAGAAGCATTTGTTTTGATCTGAACCTTTCTAATGGGTTTTTGTCCTGCTGAAAGATGACCCCGCCCAATCCTCAAGCCTTTGCAGCCATTAATGGGTTTTCTTCCAGGATTCCTCTGCATTTAGCTTCATTCCTTCTGAAACATATAATCTCCACAGCATAAGGAGAAACACCATATTTTGAAACAGAACTGTCCTCTGCCATAGGAAGATGTGCAGAACTCGTTTTTCTGCCGAAACGTTTGCACGATGACTAAAATATTCATTTTAAGTATCTGACCAGATTAAATTGAGTTTGCCAGCTGTTCTGCATGGTAGACGTCTTACAAAACACACCCAAAGCACTTTCCTATTCACCGAGTTGCACTCTCATTTATTAGACTCAAACACTGACATACAAAATAGGAGGCGACTTGTGGTCGTGTGCCTTACCAAAGGTCATGGGTCAACCCTCAGGACTTAAGCCCACAACTGATTGCAAGATGACTTTTCTTCCCACTGAGCCTCAGCCATCCAGTGTGGTATGTGGCAAACCTTGAACGACACGATTTTTAACAATGCTTTCTTCATCTGTTAACGCCAGGATTGTAAAGATTTAAACTGGTGAATACTGAGAGTGCAACAATAGTACAGAGCCTGTCGCACCATGAAGCCTCCATGTGATACAATCTTGAAGGTAACTTTTGTCACACTGTACAATAAGACTCAACATGCCATTGCTGCTGAACTATATCAGAAAGGCCCGACGGACATCGGTCCAACAATCGAAAGAGAGCCAGTTAAAGAAGTGATCACACTGAAATGGAAAAAAGAGGAGGGAGAAGAGACATCTGTGGAAGAGCTAATAACTTTGAAATGGAAGATAATAATCAGAAATCTGTCTCAGCAGCAGTCACCCTACATGACTTTTCATTAAAATTTCAAGCTCTGCTTGATATTTGTTCTAGACTGATTTGGTGAGAAGAATAATCTCATAAGAAAGATCTAACGATTCATTTGCAAACGATTTTGACAAGGAAAGCTAATCATCACAGCTTTGTGGAACTATTATTCTGGTTTAATAGTTGTCCTCTCATCATAATCTCCACCCTGAGCTGTCGATCTCTGCAGCTCACCCAGAGCTTCTTTAAATATCTTCCCTGATTAAAACTACTTGCCTGATTGTTGGGTTTTATTGGATGTTTATGCAGAGATATCAGAAGGAGGCTGAATACAAACACATGCCTGATGTTTAAGACGTTCACTTGTAATTGTGAAAAAGTGAAATTGCTCAGGATGCATTTGAAAAGGAACTGTTGATTGTGTAACTTTAGCTTCTTTGTCTCTTAGTGTTTCCAGTCTTGCATTTAACTTTTGCCTTTAGTTCAGAGAATAAACTGAATGAAGCTCTTCCTCTAAAGCTTGTAGTAAAGCTGTGGAGTAGCTTGATATTAAAATACTATTCAATGTATTAATCATTAAAGCTAAACTTTTATTTGCAGAATTTGACTAGAACGCTTTTACGTCAAATCACATCAGATGTATATTTCAAGAGATGTAACTAAAGAAATGTATTTTTAAAGTTTATTTAATCTTTTTTATTTATCTGATCTTCGGGAGTTTCATTTTTGTAGGGAAATCTGTGAAATTCTGAAAAGCCGCTTAATTATGTAGACTCATCCTTCACATCAGTTCCACATCACAGGACACATCTGTGTCAATATTTGACAGACTTTGTCTTTTAATTACATATTCCCTTTTGTGCACTCTCCCAAATTTCAGGCATTATCTCATTACCGCTTGCGTGCCAACAAACCTCTTTGGACTTCCTCTAATTGGAATGAGGAGCGCTGCCAGTGTTTATAGAGGAGAGGAGAGGCACGTCGCTGGAAATTTGTGAGCGGAGAAGACGCAAAAAGTGTAAGGGCAGCCTGTGGATTTCCTCTGATTTCATCAGTATAAAAAAAGAAGACGTGTGAGGCGATCCCCAAGACAACAGGCAGCTGGTGTAGGCGAGCTTCACAGTCCAAACTCTCAGAGAAGCAAGTGAAAGAGTCTCATGAAGGCTCTGCAAATCATCCCCGGCTTTAGAGTTAACTCCATCTTTCAGCTTGACTGCCGTGAGTCATCTGTGCAACGTCACAGGGTGCTGCAAGCATGGCGCCTTTATTTTGTAATGCACTCATGGAATTACATGTAGCAATATTCAATTCAAATCGTTGCATTTAGACATCATTTGCCTAATGGTGTCCACTTGAAAGTATTTTGATCGCATCAGAAACATCCAGCTGCTCACCAGGTGGGTCAGGGAGCAAAACGGAAAGCAGAGAGAAATTATAAAACGATATCCAGAGCATCGTTCAGTCCATCGGCTGGAAATCTACCAAAACATGGCCGCCTATGTAATCTTACAGGGTGGAAAAAGAAGCCACCAAAAGGTTTGTAGTAAATCTGGTGGAGCTGAATCAGGTAGTGGTTAATAGGTCTGTAATCTTTGGCTGTGTTTTGTTTGGAAAAACTTTAGTTTCAGTCTTTATCTTTCTTTCTCCTTCCCAAAACTTCAAGAATATCAAGGAGTGTCAGTATTTGTGCACTAAGTTAAACTAACCCTCGTTGTAAGAGAAAGCCATACGATCTGCTGTCAGGTTGAATATTTTTGCAAGATAAGTTTTTATGGTTTATTTTTGGTGCAACAAGTGTTTTCAAGTCATATCTGTAAAGTCAGGCTCATCTGGACTCCAGTAACTGTGGTGCACAGTTAACGCTTTCTTTAAACTCTTGAGCTTCTTTGATCTGAGTTGGTAGATTATCACTTCATAGATCATTTCATTGGACACGATGCATGTCTGCTGGAGAAGTCCAATTCAAAGAGGGGGTGGGGGAAAGGAAGGGCAGAATCAGCTGGAGTTCTTGTTTTGCAGCCTCCAATTTACAAAAGTTGTGCCTTTTAAAGGTCTACATGACATTTTGGAAATGATCTTCTCACAGCGTGACCTGCCGAGATCTCATTGTGACAACGACGTGCTGAGTTCCACAGATTCCCCCCCTACACACACACACACACACACACACACACACACACACACACACACACACACACACACACACACCCGACATCTCGCTGGAGCCCATCACGATGAGACGACCACTGTTTGAGTCCACTTAATGAGAGTGTAGAGTCAGCTCTCTGGCTGCAATTACAGTGTTTAGGACTCTTTAATGATATGTTAATGGCTTGGCTGTATTACCTCTCAGCTGCCCAAACAACATTAAATACCCCGCGGCTGATTAATCCTGCCTTCACAAAAACATCCAATTAGAAGGAAAATGTTGAAATCTAGATCTGCCAGCAAGTTTTTGGGGGGCCAAAAAGTACACAAGCGCAAACTGAAGCGTGACGAGATTTACTCAAGAAAATAAATAAATACAATTAGAGACGGCAAATGAAGTTTTTAAATGTACGTTTTAATATCTTAAACGTCCACTCAGGGATGCGATGCCAAAACACACCGCGTCATAAAGGTCAAATCAGTGGCCCCTTGGTTTTCTAATGCTCTGCCTACGCAGTTGCTGCTCACCGCACCGGCCGCGTCTGACCCAAAATCAGAGGAATTCTGTCCAAACATCTCAAACAACTTTAATTATGTAGTTTTTCTGTTGCTTATCTCCTGAATAAAAACCACAAGAAGGATCTTGACGCAGCGCTCTAGCCGAAGGAAGATGGTTTAGAAGATAGTTAAGAGCACCGTGTTTTAAACATTATCAGAAGGAAGATGGTCCAATGTGAGCCAGACCCTTTAATAAACACTGAAATTGCCTGTTAATTTAGCACCGACTCATGAACTTCAAATCCAATTCCATCTTTGATTTGCAGCAGAATTTGTTTTCCAACTTCACACTGTCCACATGACCACCCGCTTTGCATTGATTAGAAATGCAAATAAGCAACGGAAAATTGGAATCGGTGCAATTGAGGGGAAAAAGTAATCTGGCATCCTCCGGGGTGTGGTGGACTGGAGGATGAATAATGTTCAGAAAGATATTCAGGAAACGGAAAATGTTCTACAAACTCTGTTGAGCTGGGTGAATATTCACAACAGGGATATGTCGAATGTTGAGCCATATATTTCTTGATGTATGGTTCAAGGGATCATTGACGTGTGCACGGACGATAAGGACACCCATTGTGTGCACAAGATGAGCACATCGTGACGAACAAGAGGCGTTTCAGTTCAGTGGCATTGCATTCACCGAACTGGGAGCCACAAGAAGGTTAACTTATACGTTTTGAGTTTATGTTTAATGTCGTTACGCACCATTTGTCTCCTGATGAGGCGGCCGGTGCCAAGGCAGGCGTTTTGGTCGACCACCGTTTCAAACTGCTCATTACCCGGGTCATAGCCGTCAACAGCGCCCGACTCCCACTTTGATAATTATGAAAACGAATAAAGTCAGTGATTCTGCAGATGTTCTGCCATCCTCTCCCATGCGTTTCTCTCAATGTCTGCTTCCTTTACAGCTGTTTCTCATTAGTAAATCACCTTGCCTGCCTTCTATCCAGCAATC